TGCCCCCCCATTACCCCCCGCCTCCTAAAGCCGCACCTCATACACCTCTCACCCCCGGCTGTGCACCTCTCACTCACCCCTCTGCCTCCCCCGTCCCCAGAGGCGCGGGCGACACGCACCTCTCACCCCGCCCCCTTTCCTCAGCATGCACGCATGCACCTCCTACTTCTAGACGAGGGAGAAGCGGTCTCTTCCCCCCTCACTCACACCACACACAGGGCTCCCCCCAGCACTCATCCCCACCTTCCCCCCCACTCGGCCACGCACCTCGTACTTCTTGACAAGGGAGAAGCGGTCGCGGCGGAAGAAGGTGGCACAGCCGTCTATGGCATAGGCCGTGCCCGTGTATACCTGGGGGGTGGGGGGCCGGGGAGTGGGAGGGGACGGGAAGGGGACAAGCGGCACGGCACGTCTTAATACAGCCGTCTATGGCGTAGGCCGTGCCCGTGTATACCTGGGGGGTGGGGGGGGAGAGGGGAGGATGCGACAGGGAGGGGGCATGGTAGCTGTTGAGTCGACTCACCACAACACACCACAACACACCACAACACACCACAACACCACAACTCCATTCTCACCGTGAAAGAAGCAGAACACCTCGAATGCCTTCCTACTCAACACAGCCTCTCTTGTCTTGCGCGTTCAGGTCCTTCCTCAAGGCCATGAGCAGCAGTCGGTACCACACCGCACCACACTACACTGCACCGCACCGCACCACACCACACCACACCACACCACACCATCACAAGCAGCAAGCAACGCACCTCAGCAGTTTTCTTCTTGAACACGGACGCGTACCCCTGCTTCTTCAGCTCGCTGCATTCACACTCCAGCTCCAATCCCACTCACCACGCACCAGGGAGCCAGCCACAGCAACCCACGCACCTCGGCGGTCTTCTTCTTGAACACGGACGCGTACCCCTGAGTCTCCTCCTCGCTGTGTCTGGACTACTCAAGCCCGAATGCCGCACACACCACACCACAGGGAGCAAGCAGCACGCCACCCACGCACCTCGGCGGTCTTCTTCTTGAACACGGACGCGTACCCCTGCTTCTCCAGCTCGGGCCCAAAGAACTCCTCAAAGTGGTCGCTCTGCACCTGCACTTGGTTTGATTGGGCAGAGAGGGGAGGTGGAATTGCAGGAGGAAGGGGATTGTGTGAAAGACTTGGATTGCCATTGGGATCCTCACAAAGCCGTCCAAACACCTGCTCGCTGCGTACCCCTGCTTCTCCAGCTCGGGCCCAAACAACTCCTCCAAGTGGTCGCTCTGCACCTGAAGGTTGTTGAAGGGAGGGGGGGGGAGGGAGGAGGGGATTGCATGAGAGGTGTGGAGTGGAGTGGAGTGCGGTGCACACTACAGCACCATTGAGCTCGGGCAGCTCGGGCCCAAACAACTCCTCAAAGTGGTCGCTCTGCACCTGCAAATCGTAAACAGGGGAGGGGGGTGGAGGGGAGCGGGGAGCGGGGAAAGGGATTGTATGAGAGAGTTTAAATTCATCGCGCCATTGAGCTCAGGCCCGGAGAACTTGTACAAGATATTGCACATTGTATGACAGAACCGCACCATGAAGCCCTTCCGTGCCCACTGCCCCCACTCTCGTTACAAGCACACTCCCTCTCGTTACAAGCACACGCACTCACCTCCTGCAAGCACATGATGTCAGCTTGATACTCCAGCATCTCCCTTAACAGATTCTGCTTCCTGTAGGCCCACGACAGCGCCCAGGGCGGGCAGTAGCTGTAGTCTGTACATCTCACTCGTCGCATACAGGTCCTCTCGTTACAAGCACACTCACACTCGTTGCAGGAACCACACGTACCTCCTGCAAGCACATGATATCCGCCCGATACCCCAGCAGCTCCCTCAACAAGTTCTGCTTCCTGTACGCCCACGAGAGCGCCCAGGGCGGGCAGTAGCTGTACATCTCACTCGTCGCATACAGGTCCGCCAGCACATTGTATGACAGCACCGTGAAGCCCCCCCCCTCCCCCTCCGCGCGCGCCTCCCCCCATCTCCCCCTCCGCGCCCCCCACAGGGACCATCCGCCGGGGGGTGGGGGAGGGCGCGGGGATGACCCGGGAGGTGAGGAGGGTGGAGGGGGGCGCGACGGGGAGCCCAGTGGCGGCTTCTATGGGGACGCATTCGAGCTTGAGCACGTGCCCTACGTCGTCTGTGGTGGGCGTGTAGGGTTTCCCCCGGCCCACTTCAAACCACACCTCCCCACTGCCGCCACCACTAGCGTTGGAACCCCCTCCAGTGGTGTCAGACTGGTACGCGAGGCCCCCTGGCGGCCTGTGCGCGAATCCCCCCCCCATCGGCCGCTGCATACCCTGCATCCCCTGCTGCTGCCCTCCCGGCTGCTGCTCCCCCTGCCCGTACCCCCCTCCAGGCGCGCCGTTCCCCATGCCCCCCTGTGCTCCCCCCGCTCCCGCCAGCCCCGTGGTCCCATTCCCGCTGTTGAACTTCCCAAATAGCTCCTCCTCCTCCGCCGTCGCGCCGTTCTCCCGCCTCTGCGCCCCGCCAACCCCCCCCGCGCCCCCCACAGCAGCCCCCCCCGAGGTTATCTCCCCCGGGAGAGTCCCGTCGCTGCTGCCATGGGTGCTTCCGCCGAGGCCGCGCGAGTGCAGCGCGCGGTGGCGCGGCCAGGCGGCCTGGAAGCAGAGCGGCGAGCAGTGGTAGCTACGCGCGATGGGCAGCTTGGCCTTCACGCACCCCAGGCACTGGAGAGTGGCGGGTTCATTGCCGTGCACTGAACACACGGCGACTCGCTTGTCGCTCTGCACGCGGTACCTGGGAGGTAGGAAGGGGAGGGGGGAGATGGGGAGGGGGAGATGGGGTGGTGCGGTGGAATGGGGTTGATAATGGCACCTGGGAGTCAACGCTATCAACGCATTCATCACAATCCCCGTACCAGCGGCAGCGGATGCAGAAGCCATCGACAGAGTTGGTGTCGGGAACGCCTTGGTTTTTTTAGTCGACTCAAAGTCAATTCATTCATCGAAGTCAACGCATTCCATTCATTCAACGCAGTCAACGAGGTCAACGAACCAGCGGCAGCGGATGTAGTAGCCATCGATGGGGTTGGTTTCGGGAATGTCCTCCGTGGTGATGGTGCCATCGGGCTTGCGTAGCAGCACGTACGGGCACAGCAGTCAACGCAGTCAACGAAGTCAACGCATTCAACGCACGCATCACTCGTACCAGCGGCAGCGGATGTAGTAGCCATCGATGGGGTTGGTGTCGGGAATGTCCTCCGTGGTGATTGTGCCATCGGGCTTGCGTAGCAGCACGTACGGGCACAGCTCGCACCCCGCGATCGGGATGTCCGACGGCAGATGCACTCGCAGCACGCTCAGCATCGCTCTCTACCGTCGTCGCCTACGTCGCATGCGTCGCCTAAGTCGCCCGACGTCGCCCGGCCCTCATGCAAGGTTCGGTTGTGACAGACCGAAACGGAGACGGGAACTGAGAAAGACAGCTAGACCGCACTTAACCACGAGAGCTCGAACTCAGATCGGTAGAGCACTGACCTAAGTGGCGACAAAGTTGCTACGACGCCAACCAGGCCTGGGAAAGCTCCGCTAATCGATCCGGTAGTTGAAATAGAGAAACTGCACTAGAAATGTAAACGCTTATAGCGGGACCGACCCGTTTCGGTTTCTTAAAAATATCAGCCGTCACTGGCTGTGCTAGTTGTCGTCATGAGGAAACCCTAATTTTCCGAGCCGGAATATGGAACATTTAATCACCCAGAAAATCCTATGGGTCCGCCATGAAGCCGAACTTTGCAAAGTAAGAGGCGAGTCGTGAAAAAAACGCGAGAGATTTCTCCCAAACCGACGGCTCGGGTTGCGAGCTAGCGTACCTCGCGCGTCAGCTCCAGTCAGGATCCATGGTGGGAGAAAATATCAATGGGCTTTTTCCATCTCTGGGTTGTCACCTGACTTTTATGCGAACTCAGGCCGTGTCCAGACTCCAGTCCAGAGACGAATGTCCTTGGAGGTTCCAGATCAGCTCCTTGATTTGCTGAAATTTCACCACGGTGCTGCTCGGTACATACACACTGACGATGGTAATTTACACACAGCGAGTTTCCAGCTGACTGCTGGATGACTGGGTCGTGTGCTTGCTGACGTGTGCCGCTAATCGGCAGCAATTGCTAGCCGTCGATGAAGGGTGATAGACGCGAGGGAAGGGCTGAAACTGCAGTGATCAAGCCTTGAGTACGAGCCAGTCAGGGTTCGCAGCGTGATACTTCGCGAATTGTGACGAAACCTTTTGAGTCTAAGCTGCCTGTGTCACAAAGACAACACCATGGTTTGGCGAGGAGCAACGCGACCCCAGGTTCGAAATTTGTTACACTCAAAAAACTCGAACCCTTGTTTCTCATCGAGGTACAAACACACAAGTACTGTAGTTCTCGGGACTAGTGCGAATCTGCACCCGCCCTTCACCTGACACCTTTCTCGCGCGCACACGGCCAACAGCACCTGCTGTGTCTGAGACCAAAAATGGCGGTGACACTTGTACAGACGAGCCATTTCAGTTGCAACTATTTCATGAACACTAGTAAACGTGAATAGACGGAAGGATATAGGCAACGTTGACCGAGTCGTGTCCAGTGTTTGCACCGTCAAGCATCTTCGTCGCAAGGTGGATTTCGACATTTTTTGTCTGGTCCATCCATAGCGCCGTCGTTCGGTTAAAAGAAATTAGCGACGCCGCGGCTTCGTTACAATCACCCTCGTTCGTGCCTCGACTCTTTCGCTGTGACTGGTATCGGCGGCTAACGAATCTCGTCATAATCACCTTCGTTCAAGAGGCAAATTGTTCTTCCGTCTCATGCAATTGACGTCAATCATCCCCCTTCAATAGCACCCGCAACCCCTCACGTCTCGCCTCCAGCAGCCTGACGTCACTTGACGTCACGTGACGTCACATACCTCTCGACACGTACCCGCGGTCGTACCACCCTCCCACTCTTGCCTCTCGTCAGCATGACCTCACTCCCGACAGCTCTCAGCAGCAGCGGCGGCGGGGGGAAGGTGGTTCTGGTGGGGGTGCGACTGCACCAGCCGAACGCGAATCTCCTGTGGGGCGGCGGCAGCAGCAGCAGCAGCGGCGGCGGCGCGGCAATCTCGAGGGAGGGGCAGGCGCTGGTGGAATTCACTCTCGCGCGGCTGGTGGTGCCCGGCGATCGTATTGTCGCCATGGCCGTCCGGATAGTCCGCGCCCCGCACACCTCAGGTGCGTGCTGCCCCTCAGTCCTGAGGCGCGGCAATCTCGAGGGAGGGGCAGGGCTGGAGCGTGGAGGTGCCTGGCGATCGTTACCGTTGCCATGGCTGCCCGAATCCCCGCTGTCCTCGCGTCGTTCTTTACCCGCCCTGCCGCCACCAGGGTAGCGCACGGCTTGGCTCAACTCAGAGCAAGACTTTTGAGACGTCTCAAAAGTCGCCACCAGGGTAGCGCACGGCTTGGCTCAACTCAGAGCAAGGCGCGGGGGAAGGGGAGGCCGGGGGGAGTAGAGGAGGAGTGGAGTGAGCGTAGATGAAGGGAAGCGAGTGAATGCACAGGAGCTAGCTGACTTGCTTCTCCTGTCACTTTCAAGACTTGTCAAACGCGACACAAAGGCCCCTTCTCTCTTGGGGACGTGCAAGGCACAGTTCAACTCAGAGCAGGATGGGGAGGAGGAGGTGAGGGGGGTTGAGGTGGAAATAGAGGAACCGTGTTGAGGGTTGCGCGCTCATTTCTCTCCTTTTTGCCGTTTGTCCTGCTTGTATGCACCAGGGTCGCGCAAGGCACGGTTTCAACTCAGAGCAGGACGGGGAGGAGGAGGAGGACGCGAGCCAGAGAATGCTGGCAGCCCTGCACCCCAAGATCGAGGTGGCTGCTGCGAAACAGGTGAGGAAGGAGGGAAGCAGGTGAGGAAGGAGGGAAGCAGGTGAGAGGGATGTTTGGGAGCAGCAGATGCTGCCAGCCCTGCACCCCAAGATGGAGGTGGCGGCGGCAAAGCAGGTGAGGCGATTGTGGTCAACACGTAGCTATTCGGTTGCACAAGGTGCTGCCAGAGGCGGTTCATCTCCTTGAGGGCTTCATGCCCTGTTTTACTGTTTTTCGGATTAAGGCGTCTTTTCCTCCCACAAGCTGTCGTGTGCTTGTCTCCTCGCGTGCGCGATGCGCGTTGCTGCACCCAAGGCAGGCAGGCAGGCGGGCAGGCTGACTTGAGGCATCATCGACTGTGTCCTGGCACCGCACCCCACCCCTCTCCATCCACTAGATCACTCTTCGAGTCGTCGTGCGCTCATTCCCACACCCCAAGATCTACAAGGCAAAGCTTCTCAAGGCGGGCAGGCAGGCAGGGTAACTGAGTTTGACGCATCATCCACTGTTTCCCACACTCCACTCCATTCCACCGCGCTCCATCAGATGGCTCTCCAAGTCGTGGTGCGCTCAGCCCCTCGTGTGCGAGATGCCCTGCTCTATGAGGCAAAGCTGCTCAAGGGGGGCAGGCTAGCAGGCTGAGTTGAAGCATCATCGTCTGTGTCCGGCGCCGCATTCCACCCCTCTGCACCCCTCTCCACCAGATCACTCTCCAAGTTGTTGTGCGCTCGGCCCCTCGTGTGCGAGACGCGCTGCTCTACGAGGCAAAGCTGCTCAAGGCGGGGCTGGTGGTCATAGGGCCCGTGCGACGCACCATCACGCTTATTGGGTGAGTGAGCATGCCTATAACGAGAATGGTGGTAATGGGCTTCCCTGTTCTACGAGGCAAACCTGCTCAAGGCAGGGCTGGTGGTCATCGGGCCCGTGCGACGCACCATCACGCTCATAGGGTGAGTGTGCTTATAATGAGAATGGTTACGGGTTATACAAGGCAAAGCTGCTAAAGGCGGGGCTGGCGGTTATTGGGCCTGTGTGACGCACCATCGCTCTCATAGGGTGAGTGTGCTTATAATGAGAATGGTTACGGGTTATACAAGGCAAAGCTGCTAAAGGCGGGGCTGGTGGTTATTGGGCCTGTGTGACGCACCATCGCTCTCATAGGGTGAGTGTGCTTATAAAGAGAATGGTTACGGGTTATACAAGGCAAAGCTGCTAAAGGCGGGGCTGGTGGTTATTGGGCCTGTGTGACGCACCATCGCTCTCATAGGGTGAGTGTGCTTATAATGAGAATGGTTACGGGTTATACAAGGCAAAGCTGCTAAAGGCGGGGCTGGTGGTTATTGGGCCTGTGTGACGCACCATCGCTCTCATAGGGTGAGTGTGCTTATAATGAGAATGGTTACGGGTTATACAAGGCAAAGCTGCTAAAGGCGGGGCTGGTGGTTATTGGGCCTGTGTGACGCACCATCGCTCTCATAGGGTGAGTGTGCTTATAATGAGAATGGTTACGGGTTATACAAGGCAAAGCTGCTAAAGGCGGGGCTGGTGGTTATTGGGCCTGTGTGACGCACCATCGCTCTCATAGGGTGAGTGTGCTTATAATGAGAATGGTTACGGGTTATACAAGGCAAAGCTGCTAAAGGCGGGGCTGGTGGTTATTGGGCCTGTGTGACGCACCATCGCTCTCATTGGGTGAGTGAGCGTAAATGACGAGAATTATTGCCATGGAATTCTCTGGTACACAAGGCAAAGTTTCTGGAATCAGAGAGCTGGTGCTTTATAACGAGTGGCGCAGACCATCAGTGTTACAGGGTGGGCGAGTTTTCTTGTTGGTATCATATCACTCTTTATGCGCCCCTTCTTCTAATCCTTCCCCTGCGTCTCAGAGCTCTCCCCCTCTTACCCCTTCACATTATACTTCTCTCCTTTCAGTGGCAGTGCCGGGTCTGATGTGGACATGATGACGTTTCTCGCCGACCGGCTGTCTGCCAGCTGCAAGATCATGCTCGTCTCAAATAACGCCTGCTCCGCTACAAGACAAGGCAGGTTTGCTGACGTGGCAACCATGATGAGATTGAGTGTGTTATTACTCCCTTCCACATCTCTTTCTTCCCACTCACCTCCCTGCTCACACCCACCCTCCTCTCCTCTCCACATGCGTCCAGCATACCACTAACCATCCACATGCATCATGCATACCGCTAAGCATCCTCACTGTTCCTCCCCGTTTGAAACTGTCTTAAAGCCCTCCTCTTCACATGCATACCACTAACCATCCCCGCCGTTTCTCCCCCTTTCACTCCTCGTCCCTTCTTCCAATCCCCTTCTTCCCCCTTTCCCCTCCCCCTCCTTGTTGCCTGTTCCCCCGTCCCCACTTCCGTTTGCCCTTGCCCCGAACCCCGCACAGGGAAAGTGCCTGTTCCGCCTACCTCCCCCCAATCTCCGCGGATAGACCCAGGGGGAGGGGGAGGGGGGAGTGGCATGGGGGAAGGGGGAGGGGGGAGTGGCTTGGGGGGAGGGGGAGCGGGGCAGGGGTCAGGGGAGTATGGAGGGGGGTCTGATGGGGGCGGTGGGGTACCGAATGGGGGAGGAAGCAGAGGAGCAATGGGGGGAGGGATGGGGGGAGGAATGGGGGAGGGGGGGTTATGGGGGGAGGGGGAGGGGACAGTGGTGGGGGCTGGCAGCAATGTCCCAGATCTCCCCGATCCCAATCCAACGGCCAGGATTTCTTCGCCCCTCCCCCATCCCCAGTCCCTCCTGCCCCGCCCGACCGAAATCATTCGGGAAGTATACGGGCAGGACGAGTACGGGCAGCAGGAATTTTACCTGGACGAGCTCCTATTGGCCACGGATAATTTCTCCCCGCAGAGATTGATCGGGGAGGGCGGCAGTGGTCAGGTGTTTGTGGGGATGCTTCCACCTGGCAGGTGCCCTCAGGTGGAATCCCAGGGTGGGGGGAGCGAGGGGTGGGGGAGAGGGGATGGGGGGAGGGCGGAACAGGGGGGGACGCAGCAGGGGGGGGCGCAGGGGGGGGGAGCGGCAGTGGTGCGGCCAGTGGGGGTTGTCGGAAGGTAGCGGTGAAGAGACTGCGATGGTGGGGGCCGGCTGTAGCGGACGTGCAGGGGGCGGCAAACGCTCGGCAGTTTCTGGCGGAGCTGCGTTGTGTTGAGGCGCATCCGGCACCCGAGCCTGCTGGGGCTGCTGGGGGTGTGTGCGACGGCGGGGGAGCTGCTGATGGTCTTCAACTTCCTGCCTAATGGGTCACTGGAGACGAGGCTGAGAGGTAAGGAGGGGGAGAGAGTTTCTGGGGAACCTGCAGGCTGCTGAGGCGCATTCGGCACCCGAGCCTGCTGGGGCTGCTGGGCGTGTGTGCGACAGCGAGGGAGCTTCTCATGGTGTTCGACTTCCTGCCCAATGGGTCGCTGCAGACGAGGCTGAGAGGTAAGGGTCACTAGGCAGTGACTGGGTGGGAGCACAGGGTGCTGGGCGTGTGTGCGACGGCAGGGGAGCTGCTCATGGTGTTCGACTTCCTTCCCAATGGTTCTCTTGAAACGAGGCTGAGAGCTAAGGGAGCCTCAGGGTGCTGAGGCGCATTCGGCACCCGAGCCTGCTGGGGCCGCTGGGGGTGTGTGCGATGGCGGGGGATTTTCTCATGGTGTTTGACGTCCTCCCCAATGGGTCGCTGCAGACGAGGCTGAGAGGTAAGGTGAGGAACTCCCAGGGGGGAACTGTATTTGGGTTGCAGGGACTGGGCAGCACAGGGTGATGGGCGTCGTGTGCGAGCGACGTGATTGAAGAAGTGTTTTGAGACGTCTCAAAACACTTCTTCAATCAGGGGATGACTGTATTTGGGTTGCAGGGACTGGGCAGCACAGGGTGATGGGCGTGTGTGCGAGCGACGGCAGGGGAGCTGCTGATGCTGTTTGACTTCCTGCCTCCACTGGCCCCAATGGATCTCCAAAGACGACGTTTGGCTGAGAGGTGAGCGGTGGGAAGCATGGGGCGGTGGGAAGCATGGGGCGGTGGGAAGCATGGGGCGGTGGGAAGCATGGGGCGGTATCAGTAGATGCTGGGTAAGGGTGACGGTGTGCGATGGAGGGAAAGGTGCTGATCACGGTGGTTGACTTTTTGCGCTATGGTTCCCTGGTGACACGGCTGAGACGTGAGGGAACCTTGGGTGGGGTTTTTTGCTGGTTTGAAGGGGTGCCACGCAAGGACTTGGAAGCACAGGGTGCTGCCCGTGTGTGTGCGACTCAAATGAGGAGCTGCTGATGGTGTGTGTGACTTCCAACTCCTTGCGAGTGTTTTGAGACGTCTCAAAACACTTCTTCAAACACGTGACTTCCAACTCCTTGCGAGTGTTTTGAGGACGTCTCAAAACACTTCTTCAAACACGTGACTTCCAACTCCTTGCGAGTGTTTTGAGACGTCTCAAAACACTTCTTCAAACACGTGACTTCCAACTCCTTGCGAGTGTTTTGAGACGTCTCAAAACACTTCTTCAAACACGTGACTTCCAACTCCTTGCGAGTGGCTTTCCCAATGAGTTGCTCGAGATGAGGCCCGCCCTTTCAGACTTTACTGAATCTACCCCACCCACCTCTCTACTCCCTTTTCTTTCTCCCACCAGACCACACAAAGCCCCTGCTGCCTCGGGATTCATGCGCTTCTGTGTGCTGCTGCCTAATCGAACCCTTGCATTCCCTTTTTGGTTGTGCACAGACCACACAAAGCCCCTGCTGCCTCGGGATTCATGCGCTTCTGTGTGCTGCTGCCTAATCGAACCCTTGCATTCCCTTTTTGGTTGTGCACAGACCACACAAAGCCCCCGCTACCTTGTGATTTGCGCATGCGCATTTCCTGTGAGGCGGCAACCGGGCTGGCCTTCCTGCCTGCCTCTGTGCCGCTATTCTGCCCTGCAATGTGAACCAGAAGCGAAAACCCCTGTTCCCCTCCCGTCCGTGTGGCAGACCACACAAAGCCCCCGCTACCTTGGGATCTCCGCATGCGCATCGCGTGTGAGGCGGCCACCGGGCTGGCCTTCCTGCACTCGTGCCGGCCGCCCATCATCCATCGGGACGTGAAGGCGGCCAATGTGCTGCTGGATGCCAACATGCACGCGCTGGTGAGTCAACGCTGGTCAACGCCAGTCAACGTCAGTCAAAGGCTGGTCAAAGGTGGTCAATACCACCGGGCTGGTTTTCCTGCACGCATACCGGCCGCCCATCATCCATTGGGATGTGAAAGCGGCCAGCGTTATACTCGATGCCATGCCCGGGTGAATCAACGCCAGTCAAAGGCTGGTCAACGTAGTCAACATCAATAAAATGAGTGCACTAGCAACCACAGTCAACGCTCGTCAACTCTGGTTTCCAGGGCAGTGTCCCCGGTTCTCCTCCTGTGTGCCTCTTCTCCCCTCCTTCGCCTTTCACTTAAGTGCGCTCTCACCCACCCGTTCTCTTTCTGTGTTCCTCCTCTCCCCTCCTTCGCCTCCCTTCCTGGGTCGTTAGGTCTCCGATTTTGGGCTGGCCAAGGTAGCTTCAGATCAGTACACCCAGCCAATGGCAGTTACCAGCATCATGGGCACCAGAGGGTGAGCCTTCATTTTTGTCACATCATTCTTTCTTACCGGTACCGCCCATTCGCTACAGTCACGCTGCTGCTACTAGCATGACTTGCAGCCGAGGTAGCTTCAGACCAGTACACCCAGCCAATGGCGGTTACCAGCATCATGGGCACCAGAGGGTGAGCCTTCATTTTTGTCACATCATTCTTTCTTACCGGTACTGCCCATTCGCTACAGTCACGCTGCTGCTACTAGTATGACTTGCAGCCAAGGCAGCTTCAGACCAGTACACCCAGCCAATGGCGGTTACCAGCATCATGGGTACCAGAGGGTGAGCCTTCATTTTTTGTCACATCATTCTTTCTTACCGGTATTGCCCATTCGCTACAGTCACGCTGCTGCTACTAGCATGACTTGCAGCCAAGGTAGCTTCAGACCAGTACACCCAGCCAATGGCGGTTACCAGCATCATGGGCACCAGAGGGTGAGCCTTCATTCTTGTCACATCATTCTCTCTTACCGGTACCGCCCATTCGCTACAGTCACGCTGCTGCTACTAGCATGACTTGCAGCCAAGGTAGCTTCAGACCAGTACACCCAGCCAATGGCGGTTACCAGCATCATGGGCACGAGAGGGTGAGCCTTCATTCTTGTCACATCATTCTCTCTTACCGGTACCGCCCATTCGCTACAGTCACGCTGCTGCTACTAGCATGACTTGCAGCCAAGGTAGCTTCAGACCAGTACACCCAGCCAATGGCGGTTACCAGCATCATGGGCACCAGAGGGTGAGCCTTCATTCTTGTCACATCATTCTCGCTTACTGGCACCGCCCATTCGCTACAGTCATGCTACTGCTACTAGCATCACTTGCAGCCAAGGTGGCGTCAGATCAGATCAGTACACCCAGCCCATGGCGGTTACCAGCATCATGGGCACCCGAGGGTGAGCCTTCATCACATGAATGGTCCTTCATCACATTCTCTCGTACTGCCCATTCGCTATTGTCACACTTCTACTAGCATCATGGGCACCAGAGGGTGAGATTTACCAATACATTCTGTGTAATAACAAACGGATTCTTCATGTGTAGCCTAGTTACACACACCCAGTCGATCGCGGTTACCAGCATCGCGGGCTCCGGAGGGTTAGACTTCATTGTTGTCACATTCTCGCTCGCTGCCCATTCGCTATAGTCACACTACTACTAGCATCAGTAGCAGCCCTTGCAACCTGCTCACATGGACGAAAATTCTGGCCTCCCCAAGCACAGCAGTGCAGTGCAGTGCAGTGCTGGTGGTTGCGGTGAAGGCATTTCCTCCTCAGCTAGTTGCCGTGTCTCTGTATAGTTCTATGCCCCCCAGTCCTCATGTCGTAGCACGCACCAAGCGCTCGCCTTCCTTTGCTCCTCAAAGACCTTCACCGCCTCCTCCTCTTCCTCCTTCTCCCCCCTCCCCCTTTGATGCCATTTTCCCAGGAACGTGCAAGCAGGGTTCACCACAGCAGCAATAGATGCGCCGTGATGCGACCTTGGGGCAAATTCCCCTCAGAAATGCAATGACTCTGCCTTCGACTTCCTCCCCACCTCCCCCCTTGTTCCCTTTTTGTCAGCTACGTGGCACCAGAGTACGTGCAGACCGGCCTCATAACAGCAGCAATAGATGTGTACGCGTTTGGAGTCATTCTCCTGGAGCTTATAACGGGTCATGTGCCCTTCCACCCCGGCAGGCAACCCCCCAACCTCTCTGCCTGGGTAAGCCGCTTTCCCACCTGCCGTCCCGCATGTATGTCCTCTTTAAAGAGTACATCGCCATCTCCAACAAGAAGTTCACCTTAAAACCTGAACCCTCAACCCTAGACTCAAACTTCAAACCTTAAACCCGAAACGCAAAACCGTAAAACTTATGATCTCGGTGCATCTAGTGCTCACCCCTCTTGCATACCCATACACGCCATGTGTGCCTGCAGGCCATCCCCATTGCCAACAACGAGGAGTTTAGGGTTTGACTATCATGCCTAATGTCATATCCCCTTAGGCCATCCCCATTGCCATGTGTCACATGCCTCGTGGACCATCACCTGGAGGGGCGCGTGTAGCGAGGGTGTTTTTGAGACGTCTCAAAAACACACCCTCGCTATACGGTGGACCATCGCCTGGAGGGGCGCTTTGACCCTTGCCGTAGTGAGGTGAATAGAGGAGCACTGCTCATTGCCTTTCATCCCCAGCCTTGACCATCTCCGTCTGTCCCTGCAGGCCATTCCATCGCCAACAATGAGGGGTTCACTCGCCTCGTGGGCTACCGATTGGAGGGCGGCTTTGATGCCCTTTCAAATTGCGACTCAGAAGACCAGGAGCACACCTGTCAGGCAATCAACACCCTTCGTCCCCCATTCGTGCCCATCCCCATCCCCATACCCATTGCATTGCAGGCCATCCCCATCGCCAACAACGAGGAGGGCTTGGGGACTACCGTCTGAAGGGCCGCTTTGACGCCTACCGTAGAAAGGCGAATGCAGGCACACAGCTCAATGCATTTCCTCCCCATCCGTGCCCATCCCCATGCCCATTGCAGGCCATCCCCATCGCCAACAATGAGGAGTTCACTCGCCTTGTGGATTACCGACTTGAGGGCCGCTACGATTTAGCGCAGCTGCAGGCAGTGTCCATGCTGGCCGTGCTGTGCCTTGCTGCGAACCCCAAGCACCGACCGCCGATGGATCAGGTGCGTTACTTGCACAAGGAGGAGAGAGGAATTGGGGCGCTTGTTTGACCCAGCGCAGCTGCAGGCAGTGTCCATGCTGGCCGTGCTGTGCCTCGCTGCCAACCCCAAGCACCGACTTGTCCATGGATCAGGTGCGTCTCGTGCACAGGGCAGGGAGGGGCATTGAGAGGCTTGACCCCGCGCAGCTGCAGGCAGTGTCCCATGCTGTGATGTGCCCTGCCTCCAACCCCAAGTTCAGGCTGTCCATGGTCCAGGTGAGCTGCATGTGTGGTGAGCAGGTGTGTAGAGCGGTTCACTGGCTTCAGGTGAGCTCCTGCTGTGCCCTGCCTCCAACCCCAAGTGCAGGCCGTCCATGGACCAGGTGAGCTGCATGTGTGGTGAGCAGGTGTGTAGAGCGGTTCACTGGCTTCAGGTGAGCTCCTGCTGTGCCTTGCGCCCAACCACAAGCACAGGCCGTCCATGGACCAGGTGAACCGCATGTGTGGTGAGCAGGTGTGCAGAGTGGCTTCAGGACTGGATAGCTATCCTTGGGGGGTTGGCCTGGCAATTGGGTAAAATCTCTAGGAAGCTCTACGCAGTAGAGACTTTATGTTACGGTACTCTTAGTCTTTCATATGAGTTTTACATATTTCCCCCTCTTTCAATCTCGTTTTTCGTTTGCCACGCAGGTTGTTACCTGGCTGAGGGACTGGATAAGGGTTCGCACCACCGAGCAGCTACAAACATAGTAGTGCATACTGTACACATTTGCATTACTAGGTGTAGGCTACTTACTACGTTGTATGCATTTTTGGGTTGCATTATATCCGACCAGCGCTCCTTCCGGCGATGCGCAAGGCCACGACGACGTTGTTGACCTCGCCAGGCTGCAATGCAATAATTGTCTGAGATCGTATTCCAAAGCACGGACACCATCCGAAGTGGCCCCATCCGAACTTCTTGGGGCTCGGGATGGTGTCTGTGTGGGGCAGGCCCCCAATCTTGACTTTTGGGGTCGCAGGTTGGCCTGAACAGTCGTCTGCGTCGTCTGACGCAGAGCCGGTTTGGTTTGCTTCGCGCCCAATAGAATCTGGCAGAACCCATGGAGTGTAGCCTGCCAAACGTCCAGTTCTGACTTCGCGGGCAATTGTGAAACTTCTGCCGCGAAATCGTTTTTTCCAACTCTATGCTTCTTGTTTCCCGTGCCTTGAAACCATACAAAACTGCACTCGTCATAACACATTCGACACCAACTACTAGCCAGCAAACTTCTTGGATCTGGAGTTTGTACAGCCGACTAGCGCGCGGGTCAGAATGCGTAAAGTTTCGTGACGGTAACTGGTCACGTACTCAGCCTGTCAGGTTCAATGTCCCAATCATACACCAACATGGCATGAAACCCCTTGTCGCATGAAGACGTACAAGACGGTCGCATGTTACGTGGCCGTCAGCTCCAAAGTGTCTTGATGCCGAACCGCGTGGCGCAACATTGAAATTCGAATTTCCAGCATTGCGAACCGCGTGGCCCGACTTCGGATGGTGTCCGTGCTTTGGAATACGCCCTGACCCTCCAATAATGTCGACAAGTCAACCTTCGTCCTTTCACTACCGCGGTGTTTGTTTGCGAAAGTTTCAGCGTGTCCCGCGACTGGTTTCGACAGCAGCTCCCCTCTTGTTTCTTTTCGCAAATCATCGCTGCTCTGTGTACATTGCACGTATCCGAAGAGCGAAGTGTGATCAGGTGCAGCTGCACATCTCACACCACGCACACTGAATAGGAAGCTCTTCCGCTCCTCCTAGCCTCAACCAGGAGCTCCGCACAACCCAAATAACAGCGACGCAATTCATCGTTGTGAATGTGAACTCAGCGATTCTGCAATTAGTGCCAGTTCAGCGAGAAATTTTCGAGAATGCATCCCTTGGGGCGACTCTGCATTTAGTGCCAGTCCACAAGCAGGCATTCTCGAGCATGATTTTTCGCTTTCTCATAATAAGTCCAGAAGCCTCAACAAGCTGGGAGGCGTATTGACCGACGGTAACACCGATGTAAACTCGACTTCGAGGACTGGTAAGCACAGCGAACTGCTTTAAGCTGGTGCTACTTGCACGCTGTAAAACATCTCAAGAGCACCTATATTGATTGGCGTACATGCACAGGACAATCGTATGATCCCGAACCACATATGAATCCGCTTCACAAACCTAATCAAAATAACGCGCAAGCACCACGGGCCCTGAAATAATACTACGTGCCACGTATGTGAAAGGTTCACCCCTTGACGCACTCGTGCGGCTTTCCCTGAACCGATTTGTACCCACTTGCACACCTGCACTTGAACTGCCTCCCACCTGCCGGAACGCACACGCCGTGGCCCGAGCATGGGCCATTCTTCTTACTCGTCCCGCAAAACAGCCTGCACGCTGCCGCACTTCGCTGCTGCTTCATGTTACACGTGGCGCTGTTACCGAGACAGTTCAGCGCCGCGAGATACTCGTCGTTGCCTTCGAAAGGATCCTCCTGCCCCTCCTCCGGGCAGATTTTGTAATTAGACATTGTAAACTCCGGGCTGCCCCAGAAATAGTTCCCGCGCACGTCTACGGCGGTTCCTCATCCCGCCCATGAAACCCCAGATTCGGCATGGGCCCGGAGAAGAGGTTGAAAGATATGTTGAAATGAGCCACGTTGCTCTTCTTAAACGCATTTGCGGGAATCGCGCCGACGAACGCGTTGCGCTGGAGCTGGACGAGTTTCAACCATGGGGATGTTCTAAGGGCCGCCCAGGGAAACTCTCCACTTAGCTGTTATAAGAAAGGTCCCAGATTGTTGTAGAGATTCGGCATGTTTCGG